CATTAGTCAGGCAAAAATAAAAAAAGCAGCTGCATGCCAGGCACCAGTGGCTCACACCTGTCATCCTAGCTACTCAGGAGGCTGAGATCTGAGGATCCCAGTTCAAAGCCAGCCAGCAGGAGAGTTGGTGAGACTCTTATCTCCAATGAACCACCAGAAAACTGGAAGTGGTGCTGTGGCTCAAGTGGTAGAGCGCTGGCCTTGAGCTGAAGAGCTGAGGGACAGCGCCCAGGCCCAGAGTTCAGGCCCCATGACTGGCAAAAAAAAAAAAAAAAAAGACAAAAAACTAAACCCAGACCTTCCCACAACCCAGCCATACCACTCCTGGGCATCTACCCTCATAGGCCAGGACATGATAAAGACAGCTGCACACCCATGTTCATTGCCGCACTAATCACAATAACCAACATACAGAAACAGCCCAGAGGCCCCACAATAGATGAGCGGATCCAAAATAGGTGGTTCCTATATCCAATGGAATCTTACACAGCCATTAGAAAAAACAAAGTAATGTCATTGGAACTAGAACAAATAGCGTGAAGTAAGGTAAGCCTTACTCAGAGATAAGCGGCACATGTTCACTCTGACATGCAGAAGTTTGATCTAAAATACACTGCGATATGACAAATTACACAGGATTCTAGATAAATACAGTGAGACCCAAAGAGCATAGTCTTAGGAGAGAATCACAAATGCACAATGCCTAAGTGCCTCTCCATATTTATTTATTTATTTCTACTGGTAATAATTAGCTAGAGTACATGCTACAAAATAATATATACACTTCATTCCACTTTTCCACATTCTTATTTCCTAGTTTAGATTACCTTTGCATGGGACTGTTTGACATAACTGTTGTTCCCAGGACATATGTTTTATCTCCCATTTCCCATTTTTCTGTACATGTTACACTTTTATATCCCCAACGATTGCACGCATCAACACAGAATCTAACAGGAGTTTTTGTTCAATGGGAATAGATACTCTTTATTTTTAGAATATCTGTGTTGGAAGAGAGTTCTCATGATGTTGACATCACTTGTAATGAGGTCTTAATCTGCTTTTTCCATTTTTAAATTTTTTTCCATATTTAAAGTGAATGTACTCCATTTCAGAAATGCCAGCAAAATCCTCTCCATATTTATACAAAATAATATGCATAATGAAGCCAGCTTCAAGATACGGAACCAAAAGAGCTGGGAATGTGGCTTTTAGTGGTAGAGGGCTTGCCTACTAGCATGCATGAGGCCCTGGGTTCGATTCCGTAGTACCACATACATAGAAAAAGCTGGAAGTGGTGCTGGGGCTCAAGTACTAGCTTTGAGCAAAAGAAGTACCCAGGCCCTGAGTTCAAGCCCCACGAGCGACAAGGTAAAAAAAAAATCGAAATCAAAGGACCACAATACCCAAAACAACCCTTCCTGGTGAATCTTCTGGGTTTGCTTCTAGATCAGCTGAGGAGATAGAAAGCAGCAGAGATAACAACCCAGCAAGTCACCTCGCAGGGGCCCTGCCTTCTCCCGCTAGTAAGCAGCTAGCTCCTAAAGAGCCAAGTTCAATCCTCAGTCTGCCCAGGTCAGCTAGAGGCCCTGTGCCCACATACATCTGGAGACCTCTGTGGGCTCTGGAGAGAATACAAAGCTTTGGCTAAGTGCAAAGTTGCCTCGAGGGGAGGAAGGAAGGAATAGAGTTTCTGACTGTCTCTTATCCCTTCATCTCCCCACAGAGATCAACCTCATCAACCTCATCTCCAGTCTTTTTTTTTTTGCCAGTCCTTGAACTCGGCCTGGTCCCTGTCCCTCAGCTCTTCAGCTCAAGGCCAGTGCTCTACCACTTGAGCCACAGTGCCAC